ACAGTCACACTCAGCCCAGAGAAAGGCTCTACTGTCCCTCTGAGTCTTCTCGGGGGAAAAGCTTTGCCAATCCCAAGGAGCAGAGGCACTATGGTCCTTGACACACCCACACCAAGTTGTGTGTCAGCAATACCCATTCACTCAGGAATTCACTTTCTCCTCACAAAGGAGGAGGAGCAAGCCAGTGACCAAGTGCAAATACCCTTTATTAATTATGTGTATAACATTAATAGTAATAACTACTTTGCTTGCTTATTTTGAAGCAGGTGCTCACTATGTAGACCAGGCTATCCCCAAATCTCCAGAGATTCTCCTGCTTCTGCCTGACAGAAGTTTCAGTTATTTTTTGGGACAGGACCCTCTACTTGGAGCAGTCTACCTGCGGTACAAAATAAAGAAAGTGGGAAAGTTGGGTATCATATTGCAGACCTAAAATCACAGACTCAGGAGGTGAAGGCAGGAGAAACAAGAGTTCAGGGCAAGCCTGGGCTATCTGAGACCTCATATCTAAAACAAAAATATAAAAAAGGCTGAGGAGCCGGGCGGTGGTGGTGCATACCTTTAATCCCAGCACTCAGGAGGCAGAGGCAGGCGGATCTCTGTGAGTTCGAGGCCAGCCTGGTCTACAAGAGCTAGTTCTGGGACGGGCACCAAAGCTACAGAGAAACCCTGTCTCGAAAAACCACAAAAAAAAAAAAAAAAAAAAAAAAGCTGAGGAAATGGCTCAGTTGGTAAAGCATCTTCTGTGCAAGCATGAGCCGGGATCCCAGCATACTTGTAACGTGCCAGCATTAGAGGAAGTGGAGCCAGTCTCACCTAACCAGCAAGTTCCGGGTTCAGTGAGAGTCTCTGCCTCAAAAAATAAGGCAGAGGGCAATGGAGAAACATATCTGACATCCTCCCCTGTCCTCTGCAGGGTTTACACACACACACACACACACACACACACACACAATTAGAAGAAAATTATTCATGGTGAGTTGTTTTAGTTACTTTTCTATTGCTGTGATGAGACTTATTATTTTTTAAAGATATAAGGGGAAAGGCTGGTCCAACGAGGGACGGAGGTCCTACGAGGGGTAGCGGGGGCTGATCCGAGGCCTCAGCGGGTCCCCCAGGCTTGGGCGAGTTCCCTGAGGCCTTGGTGGGTGGGAGACCTCCTGGGGTTGGCAGAGCAGCCTGTCCCACGAGTAGCCACAGAGGGTGAGAGACATACAGATACATCATGCAGAGAGAGTGTGAGTATAGAGTTTATTTAGTAGGTTATGGAGGGGAAAGAGAAAAGGGGAGAGGGGAAAAAGAGAGAGCCGGAGGACTGGGGGGAGAGAGCGAGCAGAAGTTAACTCTTTCGGAGAGAGATGGAAAGAGAGCACGCAGGCTGAAGGAGGTGGGATATCCTTTTCCCTTGATTGAAGGGGAGAGGTCGGGAGAGGATGGGGCTTGTCTCTGAAAGAGACGGGTATCCAGGCGACAGACCAGGCCAGCAGATCATAACAGAGAAAACACAATCAAGGACATTTATAGAAAGAATGGCTTATTTGGATTTACAGTTCTAGAAGGTTTTTTGTTGTTGTTGTTGTTGTTGTTTTAGATTTCCTTATTATGAACACAATGTTTCTCCTGCGTGTACACTCCATGCCAGAAGAGGACACCAGATCTCATTACAGATGTTTGTGAGCCACCATGTGGTTGCTGGGAATTGACAGGTCCTCTGGAAGAGCAGCCAGTGTTTTTAACCTCTGAGTCATCTCTCCAGTCCCTGAGTTAAAGAAGTTTTAAGGGTCCGTGTTAGCAGTTGAGATCACCTCTTTGATCAGCAGCACACAGCCGAGAGAGAGCACTGGGAATGGCGAGTGGGTTGGAAACCTTGTCGTAGCTACGTTTTTATTTATGATAAAGACCAAGGCAACTTACAAACAAGTTTATTTGAGGCTGAAAGTATCAGGGCGTAGCTAGAATCTACTACTATATCATTGTGGGGAGCATAGCAGCAGGTAGGCAGGCATGGTGATGAGGAGCAGCTGAGTGTGCACATCTTAATGCATAAGCAAAAGGCAGAGAGAGCTAACTGGAATAGCATGGGCTTTTGAAACCTCAGAGCTCCTCCCCAGTGAGACAGCCTCTCCAATAAGGCCACACCTCCTAACCCTTCCCAAACAGTTTTACCAATCTAGGAAAGGCAAATTTTCAAATATAGAAGCTCGTGGGGGCTATTCCTTTTGTTTGTTTATTTTTTTCTTCCTTCGTTCTTTCTTTTCCTGACTGTCCTGGAACTTGTTCTGCAGACCAGGCTGGCTTAGAGCTCACAGAGATTCATCTGCCCCTGCCTTCAGAATGCTGAGATTCAGGATGTGTGCCACCATACCTGGCTACACTTGTCTTGTTCAAACTACCACATTTCATTCCAGGCCCCTATTGGCTTGTGGTCATGTCATAGTGCAAAATGCATTTACTCCAACTTTTAAAGTCCCCGTACTCTTTAAGTCTCAATATAGTTTAACAGTCCAAAGTATCTTCTTAGACTTAAGGCAATCCCTTAGCTGTTGTTTGGCTAGAACTTCAGCTCAGTCCTGCTTGATCCAGAAAGCCCCATTCCTCTCTCTCTGAACCTTGCCCTCTCAGAGAATCTCCAACAAAGGGAAGGCACCAAAAAGCCACTGCATGTTCTTGGTGACCATAGCAGGTCCTCCCTTGAAGCTGCCATTAGCCCAAGTCCTCCCCTAAAGCACTCATCTTTTGGCCATAATTGGGTACAAACCCAGCTTGTGATGGACACATCCTCACTCCTCACCTTCAGGGTATATAAACTTCTTGCTTTAGTTTGGGCATGTGACTTCTCCTGTCTCCATCTCTGGAACTGTAGGACTCATCCGGGAGTTGCTTTGCTCAAATAAACCTGCTTTTTTTTTTACTTTTTCAATACTGCTTGATCTGGCTTATTGTGTTGCAGAGAAACTGATGATCAAGATACAGAAAAAGTTGGGGCTGGAGAGATGTCTCAGTGGTTAAGAGCATTGCCTGCTCTTTCAAAGGTCTTGAGTTCAATTCCCAGCAACCACATGGTGGCTCACAACCATCTGTAATGAGATCTGGTGCCCTCTTCTGGCATATACACAGACAGAATATTGTATACATAATAAATAAATAAATAAATATTAAAAAAAGAAAACCTACTAGTTGTAACCCCTATAAAATCAAAGTGTAAATTACATACTTTCAACATACAGAATATACATTACCATTCTACAAGGGAGGAAAGGGGGTATACTAAGAAAAAACTGGACCAAAGCAAGACTAAAACCCAGCAGGGCAAACTCCAAATGTTTTGTTTTGTTTTGTTTTTTTGAGATAGGGTTTCTCTGTGTAGCCCTGGCTGTCCTGGAACTCAACCTGTAGACCAGGCTGGCCTCAAACTCAGAGATCCACCTGCCTCTGCCTCCTGAATGCTGGCTAGAATGAGGCTTTGAAACCTCAAATCTATCCTCAATGACGTTCCCCTCCAACAAGGCCATATCCAATCCTTCCCAAACAGTTCCACTAATTGAGGGTTAAGTATTTAAATATAGAGCCTAAGGAGACCATTCTTATTCTGACCACAACCAACCTCAAAGCCTATCTATCCCCAATGAAATATTTCCTCCACTAAGATCACATCCAATAAACCTCTTCCAAGCAGTGCCTCCAACTGGGACCAGCATTTTAAATGCCAGAGCCTTTGGGTAATATTTGCATTTAAACTACCACAAAAGTCCAACATACATGTACTAAATGACCAGAGAGATCACAGTCTCTTAGGGTATATACTTGTTCACGATATATCCTGCCTTGCCAGACTCAGGTGCTCCTATCTCATAAGACTTGGTTATATGGTCAGCCAATTCTGTGATGGATTTCACCTACTCATTTAGGGGATAAGTCTCTGTGATGTCACACAGTGGGTATTCAGCAGTCAGTTTGCCACTGCAGCGGTGGCAAGCGTCTCATATTTCCCCCCGTGGTGCACACTCCATTGCACACAGCAGGTCTCCCGTGGGTCACAGTCTGGTTTCTGGTTCTGTCATCTCACCAGTCTGAAGCATCTGCATGCTTGTTTTCCTTTAGACTGGTAAAATATTTGATAGGTAGGTGGTGGTATCAAGTGCCTTTAATCCCAGCACTTGGGAGGCAGAGACCGATCTCTGAGTTCAAGGCCATCCTGTTCTACCAAGCAAATTCCAGGATAGCTAGGGCTGTTAACACAGAGAAACCCGGTGTCAAAAAAAAAACAAAACGAAACAAAAACACCAAAAGGAGAAGGAGAAGAAAAAGAGGAAGAGGAGGAGGAGGAGGAGGAAAAAGAAGAAATATTCAAAAACTTCTCCAATGCCACATTACTGGGACTGAAGCAATAAGATGCAGAGACGTGAGGTGACTCCAGGTTGATATAGCAACTGATGGCAGCATCTCAGTACTGCGGGCAGTTCTGGTATACTAGTGAAGAGGACTCTGTTGTTATGGTAACAGTTTGATGAAATGCGGCTAGTGCTGACAACTTGGCAGGATCCAGATTCACCTGGGAGATGGGCCTCTGGGTGTGCCTGTGGGGGCTACCTTGATTACATTAAAGGGCGGCATGAATGGAGAAAGCCAGGAGAAATGCGGCGACATGCATTGCTCGTTTCTGGCTGATGATGCAATACCTACCAGCTGCTTAAGGGACCTGACTTCCCTGCCCTGATGGATGGCACCCTGAACCGTGAGCTACAATAAGCCCTCTCTCCCTCAGCTTGTTATTGTCAAAGGGTTTCTTTCTTCCTTTCTTTCTTTTTCTTTTTCTTTTCTTTTTTTTTTTTTTTTTATCACAGCAACAGGAAGAGAAACTAAGATGAGAGGCATGGTGCCGAGGTGTTGCCTTGTTGGGGTAGTCCCAGGATGCTGGGAGGAGGTGGTGACGGTCTGTTGGTTCGGATCGGTCAGCTGGTATATGTATTTTCTGTTCAAGTAGCATTGAAACGGGATACCACAGGAAGTTCCCGTGAAGGTTTGTGAGATGAATGTCTTGTTATATAACCCAGGCTGGCCCTGAACCCAGCCTCTCGATTGCTGGAACTACTGGCCTGTGCCACTTCGTGTATAATATTAGCTAGCCTGAAGCTGGCCAGCTAGACCAGGATGGTCTTAGGCCATCTTCCTTCTGCCGTCGGAGTTTTGGGAATACAGTCTTGGCTCACCACTCTTAGTAGCACACCTTCTTTTCCTAGCCCCCATCCCTGTTTCTCCTTGCATGCTTATGTGTGTACATGTATGAGGAGGTTACAAGCTGATGTTAAGTATCTTCCTCGATTGCTTTCTATTTACCAGTGGAGAATGTATTTGGCAAACATCTTCAAAGCCATATTATCGGGATCTAGAAGTAAGATACACAGGCACACAGGAGTGTGTGTACGGGGGGATGGATGGACATGGTGACTCCAGGCTGACGTGGTAATTGATGGCAGGATCGATCTTAGTCCTGGGTTGGTCTTGGTCTGTCTGTCTCTCTGGCAGGATCTCTCAGTGAACCAGAGGCTCTCCAGTTCAGCTAGTCAGCCTGCCTTCATCTCTGTCTCAGCAGCTTGAATGCTAGGATTGCAGGTAGGAACCCCATCCTCACACTTGGCCTTGCATGCATTTCATCCATGTAACCATGTCCTCAGCAGCCTCTGCGCGGACTTCTTATATTGATGCTGAGAAGTAAATTACATGAAGGAGTGTATGTTCGCTTAGCAATGTTTTGTCTTTGTTTGGGGGGCAGTGGGAGGTCTGGGGATGGAACATGATTATAGACAGCATGCTCCGCCATTGAGCTGCGTTCCCAAGCCCCAAGGAAATACTTCCTCTGCAGCAAATAAAGTGATAAAAATTTTCCATCTATAATTTTAAACCCTCGGTGAATGGCGAGGAAGTCGGGTGGGTGATTGTGGAGAGCTGTCAGTACAGCATGGCCTTCACCATCTCAGTCCTTATGCTGGTGACGACCTGTGTGAGACACCCAACAAGAGCAGACTGCCTGACATTTCTTCACGGAAGGAAATGGCAGACCCTCACCTGAGACTCCAACTATCCCTCCTGTGCTCCCTGACCAGATGTGGATAATTTTTGTTTTGTTTTGAGACAGGGTTTCTATGTGTAGCCCTGGCTGTCCTGGAACTTGTTTTGTAGACCAGGCTGGCCTTGAACTCACAAAGAAAGATCTGCCTTCCTTTGCCTCCCAAGTGCTGAAATCAAAGGTACCTGCCACAAAGCCTGACACATTTAACATTAATATAGCCATGGCTTATTGGGCTAGGTGGTTCACACCTACGATCCCAGCATTTTAGAGGTGTGGGCAGGAGGATCAGGCCTTGAAAACCATCTTTGGCTGGGCCAGAGAGATGGTGACTCAGTGGGTAAAGCCAATTGCCACCAAGCCTAACAACCTGAATTCTTCCCCCAGAATCTATTTGGTGAAAGGAGAGAACTTCCATCTTTCAGAAAAGGAAGACCATCTTTGTCTACACAGCAAGTTCAAAATCAGCCTGAGCTACAGAGTAAGAATCAGAGCAAAAATCAGGCATAGCGACACTGCCTTTAATCACAATACTGGGAAGGCAGATGCAGGTAGATCTTGGTGACTTTGAGGCCAGCCTGGTCTACAGAGTTCCAGGACAGTCAGAGCTACATAGAGAGATCCTTTCTCAAAACAAAAACAAACAAACAAACAAACAAACAAAAAAACCCAGAAAATAAAATGAATAAAAACAAAAACAATAGCAAAGTAATTGTAAGAATAAGGACTGATATATGCCTACTATGGAGGCTGAAGCAAGGGAAAAATAGGTTCAAAGCTAACCTCGGCCGAATATAAAGCAAATAAGGCCGAGACGGGGAGGATATGAAACATTTGCCCAGCATGTGCAAGGTCTAAGGCTCAACCCAGAACCACATATACACCCCAAAACTGAAGGCTTTTCTTTTTTCCTTTTTTTAAAATTTAATTTTTTTTTGAGATATGGTTTCTCTATGTGTAGCCTTGTCGCCTGTCCTAGAACTCACTGTCCAGACCAGGCTGACCTCAGACTCATAGTAGTCCGCCTGCCTCTGCCTCCTGAGTGCTGGGATTAAAGGCGTGCACCACCACCACCACCGGGCTCCTGAAGGGTTTTCTAATCAAAATCATACATCAACAGGAATAGATGAAAGCTATTGACCACAGAATGGCTAATTACATGATAGCATTTCTCCTACTTCCACAGAATGCTAAGCAGCCATTGCAGAAGAGACTCAGAAAGACAATGTTGCAACAAGAATTGCTACACCTAGGATGCTATGTGAAAGAGCAGAACTGAAGAGTCCAGCCTGTCCTGTGATTGCTCCACGCATGCCTGGTCCCCAGGAGATAAGCGATGAGGTCACTATTTTTAGTTAATTGTGTGTGTATGTGTGTGTGTGTGTGTAAAATTGTATATATCTATTTGTACATATATGTATTTGACTTTTTACTTTTGGTTTTCTGAAAGAGGGTCTTACATACCCTAGGTTGGTCTTGAATTACTGAGTGTCTTAGTTAGAGTTTCTATTGCTGTGAAGAAAAATCATGATTATGGCCTCTTTTGGGGGGAGGGCATTTAGAGACAAGATTTCTTTTTTTAATTGATTTTATTGAGCTATACAGTTTTCTCTGCTCCCTTCCCTGCCTCTCCCCTCCCCTTCAACCCTCTCCCATGGTCCCCATGCTCCCAGTTTACTCAGGAGATCTTGTTAGGGACAAGATTTCTGTGTGTAACAGCCCTAGCTGTCCTGGAGCTTGCTCTGTAGACCAGGCTGACCTCGAACTCCCAGAGATCTGCCTGCCACTGCCTCCCAAGTGCTGGGATTAAAGGCATGTGCCACCATTACCCAGTGACCATGGGCACTCTTATAAAGGAAAACATTTATTTGGGGTGGTTTCCAGTTTAGAGGTTTAGTTCATTATGATCATGGTGGGGAGCATGGCGGCATACAGGCAGACATGGTTCTGGAGAAGGAGCTGCTACATGTTGATATACAGGTAACAGGGTGTAGACTATCCTCACACTGGGCGCTATCTTGAGTATAGGAGACCTCAAAGCCTACCCCACAGTGACACACTTCCTCCAACAAGACCATACCTACTATACTTCCTAATAGTGCCACTACTCCCTGTGAGATTACGGGGGCCAAGTACGTTCAAACTACCACGCAGACCATCCTGCCTTTGTCAGCTGAGTGCTAGGATTGTAAGTACACACCAAACCTGACTCTAATATGTGTGTGTGTGTTTAATTAAAATTTTAAATCAAGTCGGGTGGTGATGGTCCACACCTTTAAGCCCAGCACGCGGGAGGCAAAGGTTGGTGGGTCTCTGTGAGTTAGGGGCCAGCATGGTCTACAGAGAGAGTTCCAGGACAGGCTTCAAAACTACAGAGAAACCCTGTCTTGAAAAACCAATAAAAAAAACCCCAAAAAAACAAAAAAGCAAATTTAAATCAGATGTATTCATTTCATGTGTGGTTTTGTCTGCACGTATGTATGTCTGTCTGTATACCACCTACATGCATTGTTCTTAATGAGGGTGCTGGGGGCTGGAGAGATGGCTTAGTGGTTAAGAGCACTGTCTGCTCTTCCAGAGGTCCTGAGTTCAATTCCCAGCAACCACATGGTGGCTCCAAACCATCTGTAATGAGATCTGGCGCCCTCCTCTGGCATGTGGGTATACATGGAGGCAGAAAGTTGTATAAATAAATAAATAAATCTTTAAAAAAAAAATGAGGGGCCGGGCACTTGGGAGGCAGAGGCAGGCGGATCTCTGTGAGTTCGAGACCAGCCTGGTCTACAAGAGCTAGTTCCAGGACAGGCTCCAAAACCACAGAGAAACCCNAATGAGGGTGCTGGAATCTGAACTAGGATTTTTTTTTTTTTTTTTGGCTTTCCCAGACAGGACAGGGCTTCTTTGTGTAACAGCCCTGGCTGTCTTGGAACTTTTTTTGTATACTAGGCTGGCCTCAAACACTAGAGATCCACCTGTCTCTGCCTCCTGAGTGCTAGGATTAAGTGTGAGCCACTACTGCCCTGCGAACTATGGTCTTTTGCTAGAGTAGAAAGTGTGCATAACCACTGTCCCAACTCTTCAGCCCCTATTTAAGTTTTATTTAAAAATTCGGGGGCTGGAGATATGTCTCTGTGTTCAAGAACACTGCTCTGCCAGAGGACCAAGGTACAATTCCCAGCACCCAGTTTGCAGCTCACGACTGTTTGTAACTCAAGTTCTAGTGGATCTGACACCCTCATGCAGGCAGGCTAACCAACAATGCACATTAAAAAGATTTTTTTTTTAAATGGACCAGGCATGGTAACTCACACCTTCAATCCCAGCACCCAGGAGGCAAAAGCAGGCAGATCTCTGTGAGTTCAAAGCCAGGCTGGTCTTAGTGAGTTTTAGGACAGCTAGGACTGCATAGAAAGACCCTGTTATCAACAAAGGAAAACCAAATTGCAATGCTATGTGGTGATGTTTGTCTGTAGTCTCAGAACAATGGAGGCGTTTAAAAGAGGGTCGCTTCAAGTTGGAGGCCAGTCTGGGCTACAAAGTACGTCTCAAAACCAACAAACCATTCTGTGTGTTTGAGCTAGATGTCCAATTCTAGGAACTTATCCTGTGATCTACTATCTGTCAAATAACACGAGAACATCTAAATATTACATAGCATTGTAATGGCGAACGATCAACAATGATAGGAATGGCAGCAGAGGCAAGGGAAACTCTGTGAGTTCAAGGCCAGCCTGGTACACAGAGTGAGTTCCAGGATAACCAGAACTAAACAGAGAAACTCTGTTAAAATATAAACAAACAGCCGGGCTATGGTGGCGCACGCCTTTAACCCCAGCACTCGGGAGGCAGAGGCAGGCGGATCTCTGTGAGTTCGAGACCAGCCTGGTCTACAGAGCTAGTTCCAGGACAGGCTCCAAAGCCACAGAGAAACCCTGTCTCAAAAAACCAAAATAAA